CCCTGTACATAGATAGCTCCTGTCCTCTAGGTAGAGCGTATCGAGACTTGCCTGTAATATTTTAGCTTCTTACTGACTGTGTGTGATGGTAGAACATATAATTTTTGTACATTCTATTTACTGAGATGTTGCCTTTTTTTTTTTATTTTATTTGACAAATACTCTGGAATTCAGATGTGGTTTTTTTGGTTTGTTTTTTTTTTTTTTGTTTGTTTCTTTTGTTTAATTTTGGTTTTGTTTTCGGTTTTTGTTTTGGTTTTGGTTTTTTTTTTTTGCTTTTCCGTGAGGATTCCTTTGGAAAGGTTTTTAATGACATTCCACTGATCTGAAAATTTTTGCTTGAGGTTGACTTCAATAAATCGTTCTGAATGTTCCAATGATGAGATGACTCAGTTCCATCTCGCGGCGGGGGGGGGGGTGTGGGGTGAGTGGGTGGGTGGATAACGGGACTCCCGGCTCCGCGGTTCCTCCTCCGGGAAGGGAGCGGAGGCTGCGCTCGCTCCGCCCCGGAGGCGGTGGCTCGTGGGGCGGGCAGTGGCCATGCGGCGAGCGGAGCTGGCGGCCGAGACCGCGCTGCGGGCCCTGCTCCTCGCCACCTTCGGGTGAGTGCGGGACCCCCGCCCCGGCCCCCTCCCCGTGCCCGCCCCAGCGCTCATTTGCCCTGTCTCGTTCCAGGATCATGGAGTTCCTGCCGCCCTTCCAGCGCGTGGTGCAGCCCGAGGAGATGTGGCTCTATAAAAACCCCTACGTTGAGGTGGACCACGTTCCCACCGCCCTCATGTTTGTAAGTTTATGGCGTGTTTGGGGTTGGAAGGGACCGTAAAAATCATCTTGTCGTGTCCCTCCCCCATGGGGGATGCTCCCCTTCCACCAGACGAGGTTTCTCCAAGCCCCACCCAACCTGGCTGTGAACAGTTCCAGGGATGGGGCATCCACAGCTTCCCTGGGCAGCCCGTGCCAGTGTTTCCTGCATTTACTTTGGTTTTTCCTCTAATTATAAGCTCTCCTGTTAAAGCAAAGCTGCTGGCTGAAGGCTTATACTGCAATACCTGGAGCTCCTAGTGCAGGTTGCTGAAAGGGCAGGATATTGTATCCATGTGGATAAATAGCTGAAGGGAGGGGTTGGGGGGATGGAGCCCGGCTCTGCTCTGTGGAGGATGAGGCACAAACTGAAACACAGGAATTTCCACCTGAACACAAGAAAGAACTTTCCTGGGTGGGTGACTGAGCACTGGCACAGGCTTCTCAGAGAAGGGGGAGTCTCATTCCCTGGAGACACTCAAAATCCACCTGGACACAATCCTGAGTGACATTCTCTGAGGACCCTGAGCAGAGGGGTTGGACGGGATGGCCCCCAGTGGTACCTTCCAGCCCATCCTGTGAGATCAGTACAAACTAGATAAGACTTATAGTAACTTTTATCATATTTTCAGGCTTTACCATCCAGGCTTGTCTTTGGGATTTGAAGTTTATAAACTAGTGTGGACTTTGCACTGTTGTTCGTAATCTCGTTCCACGTCCAAATTCCCAGGAGCACAAAGATAGCATAGCTCTTGCTATCAGGGAACATTTTCCTTGAAAGCAGCTATTTTTAGCAGAGCTTATTGTCATTTTATTGTGAAATGTTTTCCCGAGGGCTCCAGGCTCTGTGAAAAGGGTTTGACATAACCCCGTGTAGGACTTCAGGAGACCAGCAGCGTGTCAGAGGGGTTGGCTGCCTCTGGAGCAGGTGTGAGGTCAGGGGCTGTGGCTCCTGGGTTGGGCAAGCTCCCGCTTTTCCTGGCAAATGGCACTTGGGATTTTCTGCAAGAGGTGGGCACTGAACATTAAGGACAAAACCTCAGGGTAGCATTTGGAACTGGTGGCGTAAAGCACAACATATGCCAGAACTCAGGTGGGAGCAGCTCCTTGGCAGCCTGGCAGCCACGCCGTGGGTGCCCCGGGGTGAAATCCCCCCGGTGCAGTCGGGCTGAGATGGGAATGGTGATAACTGAGTCAGCAGCTCAGTGGTTTTGCTGACAGAGCGAGGGTGCTGCTGACAGGGCACTAATGCTGGGGCTGGCAGGGAGGGGAGAGCTGAGGTGCTGGGGCTGGGGACACCCCCAATAACCAGCCAGAGGAGCTGTCTGAGCACCTGAGGATGTGCTGGGCTGATCAGGGCCTGCTGCAAATCCAGCTGGGATGGGTTTGTGCTTCTGATGGAAGTGCCCTTTGGAGAGCACAGCTGCTGCTCGGCTTTGGGGAGGGGAAGTCTTCTTGAGCAGCTGCTGTGGTGTTCTGGGAGAGCCTAAAGCTGTTTCACTGGCACCTAAAAATCTTCTTGTTTTGTGCAGTTCATTGCGTTTCTGTCTCCCTTGCTGCTCATCGTGCTGGCGAGGCTGTTCATGAGCGCCGACCGCGAGGACACGCGGGAAGCCTGCCTTGGTGAGCTCCTCCTCGTCCCAGAGGGCTCCAGGTTGAGCCCTGCCCGCACCTGAACGTGCCTCAAAGCTGCACTTTCGCATGGGGATGATGCTGACGTGACCCCTCTGCTCTCTCCCAGCTGCCAGCCTTGCCCTTGCCCTGAATGGACTTTTTACCAATGCCCTGAAGCTCATCGTGGGGAGGTGAGAGACCGGCTGGTTCCCAGCAGTGCAGTGCAGAGAGGGGAGGGGAGGCAGGTCTGCACTGGGGGCAGAGCTGCAATAGCCAGAGCAGGGCTAGGAGCTCAGTGTGACACACTGGGAAGGATGTGGGTTTTTCTGGCTGTAAAGACAATTCAGTATTAGAACAAACACTGGTGGGGACCTGCTGTCTCCGGCCATCGCTCGGAGGGGCTCGTTCAGACCTGTGCTGGGCAGGATTGCATTGGCGTGGGGATGTGGGTGCTCTGTGGGGCCCCACACCAATGGCTGTGTGTTCTTAGTGCTTCACATCTCTGCCCCAGGCCACGGCCCGACTTCTTCTACCGCTGCTTCCCGGACGGCCGAGCCAACGCGGAGCTGGTGTGCACGGGGGACTCCCGCAGGGTGACCGAGGGACGCAAGAGCTTCCCCAGCGGACACGCGTCCTGTGAGTGCTCCACCTCCCTTCCTGCTGCAGCCCTGGGCAGCGAGCTGTGCAGAGCAGGAGCCATGGGGAGGGCAGCTTGGGTTTGCTTTGGCTGCGTTCATTGGCCTCGTCAGGGGCCTCAGGTTTCCCTCTGCAAAGCAGTGGGGTGAGAAATGTGGTCAGAAGCTGTCTGTAACCCCGGGTACCAGCTTCTGTGATCCATCACTCCCAAGGTGGTGCTTGCCTTGGCTCACAGGGGCAGGAGAGACTCCCCTTGCAGCCCTTCCACCACAGGGTGAGGGTCTGACTGAGGGCCCTCTGCAGAGCCCGGAGCTGTTCTGAGCCGATGCTGTTCCGTTCTCTTCCAGTCGCCTTTGCTGGTCTCGCCTTCTCCGCCTTCTACCTGGCGGGGAAGCTGCACAGCTTCACTCCAGGCCGGGGGGGCCGGGCCCTGCGCCTCTGTGCCTTCCTCCTCCCGCTCTTCCTCGCCACCCTCATCGCCGTGTCCCGCACCTGTGACTACAAACACCACTGGCAAGGTGGGTCTGTGCCTGCCCGCGTACCCGGGTGGGGCCGTGGTGCCACAGGGCTGTTCAGGGCCCACAACAGCAACCTGGGGGTTTGCTTGCTCCTCTGGTGGTAATTCTGGTGCCTCCTGCAGGGCACTGATGCCTTTCTCTGTGTGTTTGAAATATATACAAGCTTGGTTTTACAGCTGAGGGTCAGACTGCAGGTCCAGCTGAAAAGCTGCTGCTGGAGAATTCCATCAGCAGAGAGGCTTGGGAGGGTGAAGGGTCGTTAACTCTCCTCTGGTCTTGCCCACAGATGTGTTGGTTGGCTCCGTGATGGGCTTGGTGCTTGCATACCTGTGCTACAGGCAGTACTACCCTCCCCTGACAGACTCCATGTGCCACAAACCGTCTCTGTCCAAGCCCAAACCTCCGCTGGTGCATGAGGAGAAGCCTCCAGCTCCCAGCTTCCACCTGGACATACAGTGAGGGCTCTGTCCTGCTGATCCCTGGGTGCCAGGGCAGGGCTTTGGGGAGGCTGCTCAGCAGTGGTTCTGATGAGGATGAGCCCCAGCAGGGGTTCCCTGCAGTGCTGGTGAGTCTCCTGCCCAGGGGCTTGTGTTGCTTCGTTTAATGGAATTTTATAGGTGTCCTTCACTTCGGGCCTCCTGTGAAGTGAGGGGAGCACTTGAGGTGCCACCCTGCAGGATGACAGTCCAGGTATGAAGGTCCTGAAGCAAGAACTGGGAAAATCTGACAATCCAGTGTGCCCAGTCTGGTGGGAGTCCTAGTGTCCAGTCCAGGAAGCACCATTGGTCACCTCCCTGCAATCCAGCTAAGCTGTCCCAGCCCTTCTCCTGGGAAATGAAGTGCAGGACCTGCCAGCCTTGAGTTTTTTCTAATTTGCCAAATAAAGGAGTTTAATTTTTTTAATGAGCTGTGGTGCTAAAGCTTTACTTCAAGGCCTGGGTTGTCTCTGTGTAAGCTGTTTCCTCTGGTGTCTGCAGGGGTTGCTGGTGGGTGCTCATTTTGTACCTCTTTCCTTGCAGCTTTAGTACAGTTGTAAGGAGATGACAGGAGAAAATGAAGTGGTGTCTGAGAGCATCCCTGCCCAGGTGCTTGTTTCCCTGCATGTGGTTTGTCTCAGACAAGGCAGGGCTGTGCTACCAAGATCCAGAGCCAGCTGCCTGGCAGGACTGTGTGAGCAGTTGTCACATCACAGACAAGGAAGGTTCCCTCCACAGACAAGGTGTGGTTTGATCAAGTGTCTGTGTGCAAACAGCACAGGTGAGGCTGTAGCAGAGTGAGGCAGATGAGTCAGTAATGAAACACTGCCCCATCAGCTGCAATTTGGGCCCTCTGACCCTGCAGCTTCAACAGAAATACAGAAATAGCTTTACTTTCTCCTAAAACTGCACAGGTAAATTCTCCAGCCCCTCCTTCTCCCCCCAGACATGCACGTACCACAGTCATCTACTTATTTATTTTGGCTTTTACTGGAAAAGACATTAAATAACATTTAAAATGTATTTAACTTTTTTTTTTAACAAAGTGCATAACTTAAAAAGCTGATCATTAGTGTCCCATGTTAAGACTGTTCCTTTTCCTACTCCCGTAGGAGACTTTAGCCAGCAGTAGTTCAGGTGCCAGCTGAGCAGCTTGGCTGTTCCTGCAGTCAGGTAAAGAACAGCTTCTGTTCCTTGGGAGGGGAGGAGGGATGGAGGCTGCAAACAAAACCCTTCCAGTAGTGCAAATAACGGGCAGTGGAGGAAAAACAAACCAACAGGCTGTTGGGGGAAAAGGCTCCTTACCCCATGCAGGGCAAAAGTCAGCGGGAGGGAAAGTGGTTTGGCTCTTCTAAAGGCTGCACAGCAACACTTCACACAGCACTGGAGCCCCAGCCCAGGCACTGAGCCAGCTCGGGGGGTTTGGTGGCCAGGGAGGGAGCACAGGGGCTCTCTGGCCCTGTCCCTCTCGGAGCAGAGCTCCAAGGCAGCTGCAGACTGAGCTGCCTGCAGAGCTGGTGTCACTGCTGCCGTGCCCAGACCCTGTGGATCTGGGCTCCGACTTTGCTGGCTGTATTTTGTACATTTAAAGCTAAAAACAACGACTGGAGCGTGGCGGGCGCAAGATCCCTGTGGCCACCTGAGAGCCCCCGGGCCAGCAGCGCTGCTCCGTGTCCCTGCAGGGCACTGAGGGCTGGCCCAGGCCTCCAGACTGCCCAGGAGCAGCTGCTGTCCCCAGCCTGGCTGCAGTCTGACTGGAGGTGGAGCTTTCCTCAGGTACAGCTGGGCACTGGCGTGGTCAGCACCGGGGGGAGGCCCCTGGTTTGCCAGCGTGGGCTGGGCGAGGGTGGTGGGACGTCACTACCAAGACAGCACAGCAGGCAGGAGCACGAGCATGCCGCCCTCACCACGTGCTTTATGGGGCACCCGGCACGGCCCAGGGGTGCACAAACATGCAGCAGCAGTGCAGATGAGGGGGGCTGGTGAACAGATCCTGCTGGCTCAGCAGCAGCCCGGGCCCTGGCAGTCCTGGTGCCAGGTGCTCTGTGTGAGCAGTCAGCAATCTCCCCTGCTCCAAGGCTGCTGCAGCTCCCTCCAGGCTGCGTGGTTAAGGCTTTTTGCTCCTCAAGGTCCCGGGCTGTGAGTGTCCTCACTGAGCCAGGAGCAGGGTCAGCCCCTCGGTGGGTTCTGAGCCTGGACAGCTCGTGTGCTGCAGTGCTGGAGGAGCTGGTGAGGGGGCTCACAGGGTGGAGGGTTAAGAGTACACGTTGCCACAGGGAGTCACCATGCGGGTTCTGTGTGTGTTCGAGCAGAAGTGTTTTCCCTTGATAGTTTTACCCCCCACCACCCCTACCCAAAATGGAGGAAAATCCATCCTTATCTCCAGGTAGCAGCAAGTACTTGGGAAGCAGCATGCAGGACACGGCAGTAGAGGAGAGAGGAAGGCAGAGAAGAGATCTGGACTTTCCTGGTGAGTACTCAGTGGAATTGGATCTAAGAAAGCAAAAGGAGGACACAGGAATAGCTGCAAGTGAGGCAGCCAGAATCCACCCAGCACAGTCTCCTGGACCCTCCTTGGTTCTCTCCTCTTGGCTGGTGGTGGTCATATGCAGGGAACAGGAAAGAAGCCAAAGGTGCTGACAGGCCAAAGAAAAAATCTGACACAAGTTCCCTGCCTTAGATAAGGGATATTGTTCCCTCAGACAAACCAGATCTCCTCTGAGATGTCCTAGGAAACCAGGAAGGGGTTTAGGCAAAGGTGACTTACAGCCAGAACAGCACAGGTTGGTCACTGGCTTCCTTGCAAAGGCTGATCCAGTGTGATGCCTTGTGTCTGGTAGATCTCCTTCAGAACCAGCAGAACCGTGTCCTCTGACTCCCTGGAGAATAAGGACATGTGACTTAGAAGGGGATGCTTCCCTGCACCCTGTCAGGACATGTTTTGGGTAGATGTGGTCTGCAGATGCCCCATGAGGCAAGGAGAACCACACTGGTCTCCTTCCTCTGTCCCTGCCCACCCTCTGTGTGTCTCAGGCAGGAGAAGGTCTTGTCCCCTCAGTTAAGGCTTTTCTTACTACACAGGCTTTGAGAGTGATGCCATCCTGCTTCATCCCACGTGAGTTTGAAGCTCTGACGATCACAAACCCTTACCAGTAGCAGAGATGCCCTTGGAGTGCAAACAGATACTCGTTGAAGCTCTCTATTGGCTTCTCCTGCAGCACGTAGTCGATGCGGTTCCCCCCGTTCAGCCTCCCCACGTTAATGAGGGGGGCCTCTTCCTTCACTGCTGCAGGGGGCTCCTCTGGCTTTGTGTCTGCAGGAATGAGGAGCAGTGTGGTTCAGCCATGGGGCACCAGCAACCATGACAATACAGGCAGCTGAATTCAGTGCCTGGAAACAGTAGTGCAAGAGACAGCCAGAGCAGGGGGACAGGCTTGGCAGGCTTAAAAAGTAGTGTGGTGTGCTGAGACCCCCCAGAAAACCCCTTCATCAGGCACTAACAGGGGAAGGCCACAGCATCTGGGGAGAGCCAGGTGCACCCACAGCCCAAAGGCAGCTGGGCACAGACAAGGGGCAGCGTGGCTGCGGGGAGCCCGAGCACATGCTGCTCCACGGGCAGCTCCCAAGGCTGCATCCCTGCCTCCCCTCTGCCCAGTGCATCCCCTGGCACTGACCTGGCTGCTTCTCCGTGCCAGCCTCTGGCTCTGCTTCGGCGTCGGTGCTCCTGGCCTCCAGGGCTGGCACTGGGGCGCGGGTGAAGGACTGCCAGGCCACCCTCAGCGACCCCAGCAAGTTGTTCTTCAGGTCCACGCTCATGCGTGTCAGCCCTTCCTTCAGCTCTGCAAGGCAGGAGGGGGGTGGGTGTGGGGCTGGGGGCTGCAGCAGCCCTGGGCAGGGGGACAGGGGCTGCCTGTGCCCTACCGAGGTGCATCCTCTTCCTGCCCTTGTGGTGGGGCAGCAGCATGGGCTCGAACTCCAGGTCTGGGACGATCATGGGCTCGATCCGATAGGCAACGGGGTCAAACTGCACAGAGGAGAGGGACAGTGAGCAGGGCTCGTGCTCCACGTGCCTCAGGCAGGGCGGCTCTGGTTCTTGTACCTACGGGGTGGAAGATGTTGAAAAAGCCTTTGCAGGTGGGCAGGCTGTAGTTCGGGTCGATGCGCTTCACTCCTCGCACTGTGAGGAACATCCCGATGGGAGACCCGAAGGCAAAGAAGATGGTGGGCTTGTAGTTCAGCTGGGGGTAGTTTGCTGAGACCTGGGAAAGAGAGAGGTTCGGATTTGTTCCCGAGATGAGCTCTGTGCTGGTGTCACGAGGGCCTCGTGGGCGCAGTCAGAGCTCAGCTGTCACCTGTCCTAGGCCAACGTCCCTGTACTGGCAGGTCCTGACATCCTCTGTGCTCTCTGGGTCGTGCTGTGACGGGGACCCCAGCTCAGCTCTGTGCTCCTCGCCGTGCCTGGGAGCTGCTGAGCTCTGATCCTGCAGCAACACAAAGGGGTCCTTGTGTGAGAGGGATGGGATGTGATGGGATGAGCATAAGCTGTGCAGAAAACAAACCTGTGTGTCTGCCTTGGAGCTGATGTAATGGAGTATCTTCATTCTTGGTCCTAAGGGAATTCCCATTTCTTTAAGGTTGTTCTCTGTGCACAAGAACTGGAAAATATGCAAGGCAGGTGTTAGTCCAGGAGCAGAGGTGTGGTGAGGTGTCTGTTCTCTGGGATTTTGTTCATCCTCAGATACATTTCGTGTGTGAGTGACTCAGTACCAGAAGATGTGCAGTGCTGGAATGATGGGGAAGAAAAGCAAGGAAGAGCCACAAGAGCCAGTAAAACAGGGGAGCTCCTTACCAGTGCTTGCCTGTCCATTTTCTCCTTCTCAAAAACATCACAATACTCAGACAGCTCCAGATTCTTCAGAATTTCTTTTACTTCCTTAATACCCCCATTGCTTGAGGTTGTCCTAGACCCCTGTGAACAGATCCATTCGGGATCACACTTTTTGCTCACTAATCTGCACTTTGGGGGGTCTCCCCCTTCCCCCTGCAACCCAGAAGTGGGGGGTTGGTGACCCCCTGGATCCAAGCACCACTGGAGAGCCCAGCCTGTACCTGTGCCCTGTGCTCCTCCTCCTCGGGGTCAGCCTTCTGGTTCGTCAGGAGATCAAACAGGATGAGTGACCCTGGGAACAGGCACAGGCAGAGCGTCAGAGTCACGGCAGGGAAGAGCCTGAGCCAGCTCCTCGCTGGGATGGAAGAGCAGCACCCTGGACTTTTCATTCAGGACAAGGGGCAATGGCTTTAAACTGACACAGGACAGGTTAGGTTGGACATCAGGAAGAAATTCTTTACTCAGCGGGGAGGCCCTGGCACAGGCTGCCCAGAGCAGCTGTGGCTGCCTCATCCCTGGAAGTGTCCAAGGCCAGGATGGACGGGGCTTGGAGCAACCTGGGCTAGTGGAAGGTGTCCCTGCCCACAGTAAGGAGGTTGGAATGAGAAGATCCTTGAGGTCATTTCCTCCCAAAGCATTGTATGATCCTCCCTGCTCCCCTGGCACGGGGATGCTCACGGCACCTGTGGGTGAGCCCCTTACCCAGGCTGTGCCCCGCGATGGAGACCCCCCCCTTGAAGAGTGGGTTCCTCTGCATGAAGAGCTGGTGCAGGCGGTTCATCTCCGAGGCCACTGTGTCCACGATGGTCTGGCAGTAGGTGGAGCTGTTGTAGAAGAACACGTCCAGGATGGTGTCGTTGATGAAGTGACGCAGGCGGTTGATGCTGGGCAGTGTGATCCGCTCCAGGTCACTGCAGGGGAAAGGGGAGAGGGAGTTGCAGCTGAGGATGCCAGGGAACCCCACCAGGCTTCTAAAGCAAAATGTAAGTTGAGAGCAGGATTGACACTGCCTCCAAGGACATTGTAATCCAGGCCCCCAGCACATGCTGAGACCAAACGGAGAGCACAGCCCGTGCTCATACATTCCAAGAACAAAGAGCCTGTCCTTTCTTCCCCAGGAGCCTGGCCTGCTCTCTGCCCTTCCTGGGACACTGCAGAGCAGTGCTCAAGTGCACACACTGGGTACTTGGTTCCCAGAGGCCTTTAGAAGGTGTGGATGTCCACAGTCCCTCCAGGGAGAGGCAGAAGCCTCTGCTCTTCGGTGCTGATGGGAGCAGGCGCCTGCTGTGTGCTGCAGAATGGCTGTAGGGAGGGGGGCTGGGGGTCCCCACGTGTCCTGCTCACCCCTAAACACTCACAGCTTTCCCTCCGTTTCCATCCACGTTTCCATCCCCACGGACACGAGCCCTGGAGGAGGGGGCTGTGGGACACTTACACGTCCACGCCGGTGGAGTGGAGGGAGCTGTGCCAGTTCACGGGCAGGAACTCCACCCGGCCGACCTGCTGCTGCTCCTGGGCCTTCCTGAAGTGTGCCTGCAGCATGCTCAGGGACACGTTCCTGAAGTCATTCACTGGAAAAGAGATGAACCCTTACAGAGATCCATCACGCCCCAGGGCCAGCCCGTGGCACCAACACCACTTAATACGATAAAAGATCATTACGGGGAAATCCCACCAGGGTCTTTAATCTGCTGCTGCTCCCCTAAGTCCCTGAATCTTTAACTAGAGATCAGGGGAGGCTTCATGTCCTGTCACGTGTGTTTACTGGATTTTGCTGTCCCATCTGTACCTCCTTCACATGGGCAGAGCCCAGCAGTCACGATAAAGTACTTTTAGAAATTTACAAAAAATAACTCTGTTGTGGAGATGCCTGTGCAGGAATCATAAGGGAGGAGATGAACTTGTAAGGACTCGGTTCTGAGGCAGAAAGGCCGATTTCCCTCATTTCAAATGTTCAGCAGCCTTGAAATAGTTTCATCAGCTGGCCACACAGAAGAACAGCCAGCATCCACAGGAAACCCTGTGAAACATCTCAGCTCCCTTGACTTCTACAAGTTAAATCTCGTTGGGCTTCCAGGCAGGTTCAGGGATCACCTGTCCTACAGCACTGAGCAATTCACAGTGAACAGGGATTTGCTGTCCCAAATCACTCCAGAGAATGGGATGCTGCTGCCTGTGGGACCTCACCCAGCGAGATTAACCCGCAGCAATGGATTGAGCAGGCTGCTAATTAGTTTAGCAGGTTTAGACAGGTACTTGGAAAATCCGTATCTGATTTGGGAAACTCACTATTTGGAGCAGCAGCAGAACACTGATGAGCAGTGCCTGCCCAAACCTTTCCAGGAGGCGGGATTTGGTGGGTTAGTGAACGTTCCATTCGCACTCCCCGCAGTCAGCAGGGGTGACCGTGCAGCCTGCCAACCTGTCGGGATGGTGTGATGCACCCTGACAGCGTTTCCCAGCGTCCAGGATGAGGTTTTTCCTGGCTCAGCTGAGCCGGGCTCCCAGCCCACACCTACCGCACTGCACGATGCTGCGGAAGCGGATGTCGCAGGCGGGGCCGATCCCGTGCACCACGAACACCAGGTGGTCGATCTGCAGGGGCTCTCCTGAGGAGGGAAGGGCAGCTCAGGGCACAGGGGCAGAGAGGCTCGTCCCCCTCCTGTCACCACCCTCGCTCCGGGGGGAGTGGATGCTCCCGGCAGTTCAGCCCCACCCGTGGGGCACATCCAGCACAAGGAAGGGCAGGACCAGGAGGTCTCTGTCCAGCTGCCCCGTGCCCAGCCCACTCTGATGAACTACTGGGCCCCATGGAGCTGCACCTCCCAGGTAGGCCCCAGGTGGAGTTAGGACTTGTTCTCTACTTCCCACTCATTTTAGTTTGCATACGTGCCTTCCTGAGGACAGGCATGCATGGATAATGCAGGGGTTAGACAGGAGTAACTGCCCATCCTCCTCACAGGGACAAGTCCTGAGGCCTGACTGGGATGGGAGGGGACAGAACTGACACTCAGCTTCAGAGATGGGGAGAACACGTGCCCCAGAAAGTCACCAGCATGCAGGTAAGTGATAAACCCCCGTGTCCTTACCAGGGAAACAAACTCTCCTCCTGTACAAACACAGATGCCAAGACCTCGGGGGTAATTTCAGGCACTGCAGAGCTCCCAACAGCTCTGTCTCCATGCAGGAGCTGCAAGCTCACTGCCTTCCCCCCTCTCACTGCCTCTGTGTGTTCACTGATGCCACAGCTCACTGGTGCTGGGGAGGTTGTTGGAACCATTCGGGGCACCAAGTGTTTAGACGTGCACTTCATTTAAAGGATCATGGGAGCTTCTGTCAGTCTTTTTGAGTGCACTGGTTGGAAAACGCTCCATAGCTCTGGATGGGTGGAAGGGAGGAGTGAGCTCACCGTTGGGGATCTCCACAGCAATGTTCTCCACTCCTCTCTTCACAGTCCGGGGTCGACCTTGTTCCGTGGGAGTGGAGACCCAGTCGTCGGAGCTGGCGACAGGATGGTAGTGCACCATCAGCTGGGAAACAAGAAGAGCCTGTCAGTGACCCTGGTGGAGCAGAGAGACCCTTGGCTGCAGCAGCTGCCGGGTGACACGGGCTGGTACCAGACTGTGCTGGGCCAAGCCCACTGCACAAAGAGGTGTTGAGAGGAAACACGAAGGAAATGCCAGACTTTTCTGGCACTTGCCCTCTCCTGTGCACAGGCAGGTGAGGGGAATGCCACTGGGACAAACCCATTCCTCAGCAGACATGGTTGAAGGGAACAGCACAAAGCCAGAGCACAAAGCAAGACCTGCAGAGACCCAAGGGGGTGTTCTCGCTGGTCAGCACAGAGATCACCAGGCCCTGCTCACCTTTGGGTTGTGCAGGATAATAACTTCTCTGCTGGGGGACTCCAGCTTCTTCTTCCACTCATCCAGGGTCACGGCAATCATGTAAGCTTCCTACAGAAGAGAACACCCTCTGTGAGTCAGCTGGCAATCTTCCCATGAATGTTCAACCTCTTGAGACATTCCCCACCCAGTTTTCGGGATATCTTATCAACACTTTGCGAAAGTGGCAGAGAAATCAGCTGGAGGAGCAGCAGGGTCATCCCAGGATCACCTGCTGAGGGTGTCCAAGAACCTCCCCCCTTTGACAGCAGCAGCATCAGACTTCCCCATCAGCTTAAAACTGTATTTTTGGCACGTCAGAATAGAGATTATTGCAATGCTGTGTGTTTTTATGCATACATCTCTATCCCTACACATGCATCTTCCCAAAGCAGAGCCTGATGCTGAGGGTGTCGCAGGAGGATGAGCCACAGCCGGACGAGGGCAGGGGACGGGGAGGCCACAGCAGTGCTCACAGTTCCATTAATCAGCTGCAGGAAGGCCGTGCCAAAGCCTCTTTGGAGTTCGTGTCCTCAGGCCTGACTATGGCGCCAGTGGCCCCATGTGGGGTTTGGCACATCAGGGCCAGTGTGTGACAAGGAGAGGCCAAGATAGAAACCAACAGGAAAGGTGTGTTTACCTCCAGCTCCTCGCTGAAGGACTCCGAGTAGGGAATATACTTATTGTCCTTGTCTCCCTTGTAAAACCAGGTGCAGCGACGCACTTCGGACACCTCCTCCTGCCAGTACACGGCCACGCGCTGCCGCTGCTTCAGGTGCACGTCGTACCTGCCCCCCGAGGTCGGGACAACCACATCTTCCTGGTCCTTCCCTGCGGAACCAAGGCCTGGAATTAACCGCGAGAGGCCCGGAGCAGGGCGCTCCCAGGAGGCTGTAACTGCCAGAGGGACGAGGCCGGAGCAGAGCAGGCACCAACACTGCCCACGGCCAAGCCCCGAGAGCAGCATCGGGGCATCCTGGGAGAGATGCCCCAAGCCAAACGTCCCCTGGAGGCAGAAGGTAAGATGAAGGCACTAACTGTCCTTGTCTCTGGTTTGGGCCCAGGCTTACACGGCCTCTTCCTGCCTTGCTTAGAGTACAAGTGAATTTATGGCCTGGAAAGTGCGTTGTGTAATGGTGGGGGTGCACCTGGGTCTCTAAATCATTCCCCTCCCGGAGAATTCCACACTGATCCCAATAGGGACCTCAAATCCTGTGAACTTCCCTGCCTTTTGGCTCTGCCCCTGGGCTGGGCTGGTGGCACAGTGCCCCGTGCCAGGCTGGGCTGTGGCACTGGGGGCGGGCGGCACGACCTCTAATCCAAAACTTCCTGGGCGAGGGAGGACGTGAGCCAAACCTTGAGCCAAACCTTGGGCAATCGGAGCTTTGCCCGCGACAGCAGCGGGTGGCACAGATGGTGACATCTGGCACACAGGGGCCTCAGTGCAGGGCTCAGAGCTGACCCCCGACCCCTGCTCCTCCCAGAGCAGGCACAGCTCCACGCTTCCCCACGAGGGGAATCCCCCAGCAGAATTCCTGCCATCCTCCTAGCACCCTCCCAGCCTCACCAGAGGATGCTTTGCGCTGTGATTATGTATAATTTAGAGCAGTATCAATTGAACACAGTCAGACCATTTCATGCATCCAAACAGCTCGGTTATTGGGAGCCAGGCACGTGGCCAAAAAAAAGTTCCAATTTAAATTTCCCCGAAGGAAAACCTGGCATCCCAGGTGGAAGCCATGGATGTGTCCAGGGAATTTTTCCCTGGTACCCAGACAGTGTTTACCCTGAGCACACACCTGATGCTCCCCCACCGACCTCACCAGGCCTGTTCTTTACACCGATTTAAGAGCAGGGACGTGGGATGTAAAACCAAAGGGTGACTGACAGATAGTGGTGATGGGAGCTGGAGGCCGGGGGTGCCATGGGACCCCCACCCGAGGGGTGGGTGTATGGCGGGAGCCGGACACTGGGGACGCCGTGGGACCCCCACCCGCGGCGGGTGGGCTCTGCCCGCGCTCCCGGCCCCAGCCCAGCCCGGCCCGTCCCCCCCTTACCTGCGCCGTGCGCCTCCTCCAGCCGCTCCGAGTCCTGCGCGCTGAAGGGGACCCACCGCTCCCGCGAGTCCGCGACCTTGCAGTAGAACCAGTGCGGAACCACCGCCTCGTACCGCCCGCCGGGCTCGGGCTCCGGGGGCTCGGCCGGGGGCGGCCGGGGCGGCTCCTGCGCCGACATCGGAGCTGCTGCGCGGGGAGCGCCGGTCCCGCCGCCCCCCGGGGGCTCCGCGGATCGCGCCCTGCGGGGGGACCCGGACCCGCCGCCCGGCC